AAGCCCTCCCTACACCTACCCTAACCCTACCCGATACTTTATTTTCAACTTTTTTATTATTTCCTTCATTTTTATTAAAAATAAATGCTTTTATGATGTTTTTTTAGAATTTGAAAAGGGAGAGAACATTTTTTTTCCAAAAGGCAGATTGGAACCCGGGTCGATCACGTCAAAAGGAGTATAAGCCGATTATTATTATTTTTTTATTCCCAACAGTTAAACAGTTAAAGTTGCCCACAGAAAATACAGGGGGTGCTGCTGCAGCACCCAGCACACCCACTTCCCGCGCCTATGCTGTCTGTCTGGTACAGTATTTTCTCTGCTTGCGCGACTATCCAAATCTTGAGTTATGGAAATAATATAAAGATATCGCTGTCCCTAACTCGCAACCTCCCACTTTATTCACTTACTAAATTAAGTGGGAAAAAAATCCATAGACGCTTATAATACGTGTATCTGGCAACACGACTGATGCTGAGTCTCAATCACAACTCCCTCAAGAGACGAGGCCATGTAACCTTTTCACGATGATAATATTTATTTATTTATTTTTAAACCCACATAACTTGCTGAAATACTTCTGCGGCCACCTCATCTACCTCAGCCATGCTGATCAGGACCAGATTAGGACCTGTCCCGATGACCCTGATCACGCCTGACCTGCCTTCTGTTTCCACTATACTCTCTCTCACACATACATACGTTCTTCTCTTACATACACATATTTTCTTCAGACATACATACATTCTATATATATATATATGTGTATGTGAAAGGAGAATGTAAGTGTGTGAAAGCAAAAATATATGTATGTGAAAGGAGAATGTAAGTGTGTGAAAGGAGAATGAAAGTGTGTGAAAGCAAGAATATATGTATGTGAAAGGAGAATGTAAGTGTGTGAGAGTGCCAGAATGAATTATGGCTTGTACGGCCCCTCATACAATACACAAAACCATATACAAGCAGGTAGTAATCATACACAATGACCTGGGGATATGCATGATAGAAAAATTTGTCTGTGAATTCATGTAAGAAGTCATTTCCTATAGCAGTATGTGTCTGTTTGAGATAATTAAGTAGGAGGGAAGATTCTCTCTACATACTTTTAGGTTGTAAAGTTTATCTGATCTGGCTGAGGTGTCCTGGTTGCCATGGTAACCAGGGGTCTGGGGTCGTTCACAGACATGCTGGCTGGCACCCAGTATGTTTATTGGGTGAGGGGTCTGTGATTATTTGTTAATCTATTGAATAATTGATTTGTTAAATCTAATGAAAAAGTGTGTGTCTGATTGGTCCAAATGCAACAATGCACATGATGAATCAGGTCAAAAGCGTTTAAAACAGTTATAATTTCTATTTCAGTATTGATTTCTGCATTATCTATGTGAATATTAAAATCCCCAGCAATAGCAAAACAGGAAATCATTGATAACTGTTCTGTAAACTCTTCAACAAAGGCTGGAGAGTAGTTAGGAGGCCTGTAAATAATGATAAACAGAATGCGTGGAGCACCTTTCAACACAATCCCTAGATATTCAAAAGACAAGTACTGACCAAATGACACTTGCTTGCATTGATAGACATCTTTAAATAGAGCAGCTACACCTCCACCTCTCCTAACAGTCCTGCAAACACTCATGAAAGTAAAGTTAGGAGGGGCTGTTTCATTGAGGACCGTTGCACTGCAGCTGTCTTCTAGCCATGTTTCGTTTAGAAACATAAAATCCAGGTTGTTTGTGGTTATTAAGTCATTGATTAGAAATGATTTATTTTTTAGTGAGCGAATGTTTAAAAATGCTAACTTGATGGCATTGCATTTTGTCTCAACAGCAATATTAGTTTGATGCATAACAGGCCGCAGATTAGATGAGTCAGCCGTACGGCTTGAGAAGGCCTTAGACTTTCTATCACGTGATAAAACAGAAATAGAGAAAGCTACAGACGCACTGGGTTCCCGCTTGTTCTGTAAACATTTGTGAATGTTGCTGCTAGCATAGCGGGGACCCGCTATCAGTTATTTTTGGTTCACCTACAGCAGATGGAGTGTTTGGGCCCTGGCGTTGTGGCAGCGGCCGGAGAGCTCTCAACGAGCTGGGTCCACAGGCTTTGGTGGTTGTGGGGCCCGCCATTTTTTAGTTGATATCTGGGGACTTGCAGTGAAAGAGTGGGAGAGTTTGGTCCCAGCATACACCTGTTCCTCCATTTTCTGTGAGAAGCTTAGAAGTGGAGATGCTGGAGAGAGGGATAATGTGTCTGGTGAGATGGGCTGTGGCTCTGGTGTTTCTGGTGGCTGAAATATGTTGTCCTGGCTTCCCTGGCTGTTTTCCAGAAAGCCGTCCTTGGGTGCTGAGTCTTGAAGCTGTTCTGATACATCACAGTCTGTCTGTGATGAGCTCTTTGGGCAGGGCTCAGCCGTGATGTCCATGAGCAGTGCTTGTTGTGGCTGCATGGTGTTATCAGTGTCCTTGTGGGATGTGTCAACCACATGATGACTCGGAAGCTGATATGCAGACCTGTCGTCACTCATACTCTATCCAGGTGTGTGTGTGCCATTCAGGTTGAGTAGTTTGGCACACACTACTGAAGGATGATGGAGGGAGAAGTTGATATTGTCCTTTAGTACTCTTGCACCAAGTTTGTTTGGGTGGAGGCCATCCAGTTTAAAAAGTTGTCTATGGCCCCAGAAAAGATTGAAGTTGTCAATGAAGTTGACTCCTTTTATACTGCAGGTTTTTTGTAGCCATGTATTCAGCCCAAGCAACCATGAAAACATGTTAGTTCCCCTTGCTGGGAGTGGTCCACTGATGAACGACTGAACTTCAAGTCTTCGAAGTGTTTCAAAGAGTTCACTGAAATCCTTCTTAAGGAGTTCTGACTGCTCTTTCCGAATATCATTCTTCCCCACATGGATGATGATCACATCTGTTCACATCAGAGACAGTTGCTTGAGGAAAGCAGCATGTAGTTGTAGTCCTGGTACTAATGTTTTTGATAATAGAGTCGACCACTATCAGAGTCCTGGGCTTGGCTGCACTCTGAGCTGAATGCCGCTGTCTGCTTGACCTTGAGCACCTGTTAGTAGCGGTGTTAGCTGGTGTTAGCTGCTGGCTGATACGATCCATGTTCAGTGACATTTGGGGATTCCTCACCCACATTCATTAATGCTTCAAATCTGTTCTCAAGATGTATAGGTGGTGGTAGAATACCAGTGTTTGCAAGCCTTGTCATAGCTGTATCTGGGGTAGAGGATGCTACTGCAGCAATATGAGATACTCATGACAATCTGATGTCTCGAGTGCCTTTGGGTCTCGCTCCCTGTTTGTGCCATCGATTAGTCTGTCGATCAGTTCGGCTTGTTCCTCTACTCTTGGTATAAACTGTTGAGATTCACAGGACTCACTGTATGCTGAGGGGGTCCATGACGATGGTCTGCTGTGTGTTCCACCTGTTTTGGAAGTCTAGCAAGTAACTTTGTTTCAAGAACCGCAATCCTTTGTACAAGTCTGTGGCAGTTCATGCAGCAGGTAGATTCGACAAGAGGCATTTTCTTTCTCGTCTATTTGAAAGTAGGCAGCTGTGTTTTCCTGTCTCCGGAATGTAAGCTGCTGGCAATGGGAGGCAAAAGTCCCCTTTTTCGTAGTATAAAAGCATAATCCTTCACCAAGTGATTTACTCGTCACAGTTTGATCTCTGTCCAAATGATAAGGTTCCCAAAACCATCAGTTTCCAAATCAGAATGAGAATCCTGTTCCTTAAGCCAAGTTTCCATAAAAGCAAGAAGGCATGCACTGCTTCAACAATGCCGTTGTCTATTTACACGTATAGCATGACAAATAATTAACTGCACTTGAAGCTTTCATAAAATAAAACATTAAACACACAAAACGGTATATGACATCATAATGAAGACGAACTATATGTTGAAAAGTAATTCTGGAAGGAATGGCGGATGGCGTTGCGTGGGGACGTAATGACATGTACAATTAATCAATTTATGTACTATAACATGGAAAACGGGAACATGAAAGGATTATTCTAAAAGCAACTCATGTAAACATCTTAATCATAATATTGTGTTATTCAGAAAAAGGTAAATAATTAGATTACTGATGTCCATGTAAACGTGGTCACTGAGAGCAAGTAAAAAGCTTTTTCCCAGTTTGAATTAACATGTGACTCTCAAGGCTTCCTTTACATGTGAAAGCATTTCCACACTAAGGACAGGTGAAAGACTATTCTGAAGTGTGAATACACACATGCTCATTAAGTTGTCTTTTCTGAGTAAAACTCTCTCCACACTGAGAGCAGCTGAAAGGTTTTATTCCAGTATGAATTTTCATGTGATTCCAAAGGCTTGCTTTATGGCTGAAAGCGTTTCCACACTGAGAGCAGACGAAAGGCTTTATTCCCATATGAATTAACATGTGATTCTTAAGACTTGCTTTATGGCTGAAAGCGTTTCCACACTGAGAGCAGCTAAAGCGCTTTATTCCCATATGAATTAACATGTGATTCTTTAGGGTTTCTTTACGTGTGAAAGTGTGTCCACACTGAGAGCAGGTGAAATGCTTTTCTGAGGTGTGAGTTAGCATATGCTCATTAAGTTGTTTTTTTTGTGTGAAACTCTTTCCACACTGAGAGCAGGTAAAAGGCTTTATTCCCATATGAATTAACATGTGATTCTTCAGGCTTCCTCTACGAGACAAAGTCTTTCCACACTGAGAGCAGGTGAAATGCTTTTCTGAGGTGTGAGTTAGCATATGCTCATTAAGTTGTTTTTTCAGTGTGAAACTCTTTCCACACTGAGAGCAGGTAAAAGGCTTTATTCCAGCATGAATTAACATGTGATTCTTCAGGCTTCCTCTACGAGACAAAGTCTTTCCACACTGAGAGCAGGTGAAAGACTTTTCTGAAGTGTGAGTTAGCATATGCTCATTAAGTTGTTTTTTCTGTGTAAAACTCATTCCACACTGAGAGCAGACGAAAGGCTTTATTCCAGCATGAATTAACATGTGATTCTTCAGACTTTCTCTACGCGACAAAGACTTTCCACACTGAGAGCAGGTGAAAGGCTTTTCTGAAGTGTGAGTTAGCATATGGTCATTAAGATGTCTTTTCTGCATGAAACTCTTTCCACACTGAGAGCAGCTGAAAGGCTTTATTCCAGTATGAATTTTCATGTGATTCTTAAGGCTTTCTTTGCGTGTGAAAGTATTTCCACATTCAGAGCAGGTGAAAGGCCTTTTTCCAGCATGAACAATCATCATGTGTTCGTTAAGTCTTCTTTTGTGTTTGAAAGTTTTTCCACACTCAGAGCAGGTGAAAGTCTTTATTCTAGTATGAATACTCATGTGATTCTTAAGGTATTTTTTACGAGTGAATGCGTTTCCACACTGAGAGCAGCTGAAAGGCCTTTTGACTTCTTTTCTTTGAATGTTTCGTTGCGAGCAACTTTTTTCAGTTTTGGAGCAACTCACTGATGTTTCTCCAGTGATGACATCATGAGCTTTCTGACACTGATATTTCTCCTCCACTTCATTCAGATCTTGTTCTTCTTTTATGTTCATCAGGCCTAAAATGAAAACATTAAAATGATGAAAATCAATTGCGAAATTTGGAGAACAAAAGGAACTTGGGGTTAGGGCTGCACGATAAATCGAAATGGAATCGAAATCACGATTCGACAGAAGCTGCGATTGTCATGCGTATCTTTCAGTGAAGCACGGTTCTGTGATCAGCAGTAAATCTCCATTCAAAGGCCAGAGGGCACTCTCGCGCAGAAACCTCAAATACGCCTCGCAGAAGAAACCCAGAAAATGCCTATAGTGGTAGCTGGATAAACAGAAGATTTAACTGCTTTTATTGATTCAACGTGACTAATAAACACACGATTATGACAATATATGGTTTATCAGAGTTAATATTATTATAATTTTCATTAAAATAAAGTATGTTTATAATGCAATGCCTTTATCACTGCTTAGAATACTATGAAATATGTCGCGTGCCTTATTCTGTGTAAGAAGCCACCATCTCACAGAAGGATTTATTTCAAACACTCGACTGACGTTATGAAGTGAGTTTGGAGTAAAAATATGTTATTAAATGTGGTATTTTCACAGGCTATCAGATGGAGCAGCATTTACTACACAGAGCCGTAGTTCACTGACAAGCTATGCAAAAAAAAAAAGTATTTTTTCCATTTTAATTTTTCTGGACTCCTTTTTAATGGTTAAATTAAATTATATGAATCAAAAAATTAAAATGTCTAATTGAGTAAATTCATGAAACTTAAACAACTTAACATCAATTTATCAAAAGTTTAACAAAAATTACATGTTTAGGGCCCTGTGAAATGTTTTATTTTTTCCAACCTTATGTTTTATTGTTACCAAATTCTGTTTTAACATGTCTAATTATTTGAAAGCATAAAAACAAGTTTAATTTATTCTTACAATAGCCTAATGATTTTTTCCTCAGAAATTCTGTGTTGTGTATTTACATTTTTAAGGCATAAAACAGTCATTTAATTTATCTTTTAATTACTGAAAATTAACTCAATTTTATTTTTGGAAAATAAAGGGGATTTATTATTACAATTAAAACATTGAAGAAATATTGTATGATTATTCCTTAAAAATAAGGTTTTAATAATTTTAGTACTAGTAGTAGCCTGTTACGTACATTCTACTGAACAACAGTAATATATTTCTGCCACAATGTCTTCAAGTTAAACCAAACTTTTTTTTTGACGGGTTACCGTGAATACCTTTACATTCCTGTGTTTATATGATATGAGGATAGCTTTACTCAAATGAAATGGTAAAATGCTCAGGAAGTGACTCTCAGAGCAGTTCTGAAGATGTTGTTCATGTATTTATGTCCTCATTAGTGAGACGGCAGACGTTCAGTACGAGCAGTACACAAAAACGCGCGTCTGCGCCATTCATTAACACATAGACACGCAGAATTCAAATTTAAATAGTTGTTTTGCGGCTTAATATTTACAAATACTAGTGGGAGTGTGCTCACTTGAGTGTGCTCATCGGGGCGGAACTCCGCTGTGCGCGATGCAGAGAGCGCGACCATGTAACGTAGAGACAGAATTGACATGCCGTCAAGTAAATAAGATAAATAACATAAGGCTATTTAGTTTGTTTACTAAAAGAACAAGGTATAGACCTGTTCTATAGGAAAGGTAACTTTAAATGTCTTCTGTTGTGATCTGGCGCTATATAGAAAATAAAATTAAATAAAATTAGAGGGCACCCCTCTAATATAATGGCAGGGGAAACACTGGCGATGATGTGGCTTCTTACACAGAATAAGGCATGCAATATTTCATAGTATTCTAAGCAGTGATATATAAAGTCTATGTCGATTAGTATTGCATTATTATATACTTTATTATAATGAAAATTATAATAAGACAAAATCAGATAAATCATATATTGCCATAGGCAATTGTTTATTAGTCACGCTGAATAAATGAAAGCAGTTAAATCTTCTGTTTATTCAGCTAGTGCTATAGGGATTGCCTGGGTTTCTTCTGCAGGGTGTATTTGGAGTTTCTCTGGCCTTCAGATGGAGATTTACTACTGATCACAGAACACTGCTTCACTGACGAGATACACATGACTATCACAGCTTCTGTCTAATTGTGATTGTGATTTCATTTCGATTTATCGTGCAGCCCTAGATGACAACATTGTCAAAACGATCCCTGTTCACAAGAATTCATGAAAACTAAAAACGCCATAGCCGCGGGAACATTTTTATCTTGGGGGGGGCATATTGTGCTGAGGGCGGGGCTTGATGTTGCAGGGCGGGGCCGCGGTGGGGGATTTAAAAACAAAATCCTAATATTAAACAGCCCAAACTCTTATAGATGAACATAAAAATTAATTAAAACAGAATTATATGAGAACTAATATATATTTGTGCTTTGTGATTTTAGTTCAGTAATTATTTATTTAATATTTCTATTATTTAATGGGATTTTACTAAATATTAACATGTAACAGATCTAACACTGTTACCTTAGTGGTTGTGTTTTTCCGTTCCATTAGGTGGCAGTAACCATCTTCCTAGATGAGTATTTAGCCAGGTACTATACATGAAGTAATTAGGCAAGCGTTTGGATAGAGGAAGTAATGGCTTTCTTGTGCTATTCCAACCTTCTTTCTGAGGTCCTATGATTGAGGAATTTGTTTCCTTTTGGTCAATTAGTAAGCAGTGTTGTGTTTTCATGCATTGTATATTTTGGTGATTTGAACTTAATGTGTAATTGTTGTATTGCGTATGTATTGATCATTGAGACAATCATGCATGCTAATTGTGAATGTGTCTTTACTTAGAGGGACCTCTATTCCTTGCTTTCTTTCTTATGAGGAAAGAGTTCAAAAGGTTTGCTTCCACAAACTGCCCACTTTGTTGTTTGTTGATGGACTCATGAACACTTGGGACGTTTTACACGAACACAAAGATCAGGTGGATTCTACATGTGGAAGACAGGAGGACTCTTTGTTATATCAAGTTTGACTTGCTTATGTCAAAATTGGATTACCACTAATTGAACATTGCTTTCCTAGAGTCGGGATTTTTGCATGGACATCATAATTTCAACCATTACCAAACACTGTTGGCTTCATCATCAGCTAAGTTTTACCATTCTTATTTCTGGTTCATATCACCCCAATATTGAACATTTCTTGAATATTTTATTTTGTGATTATTTTTGATCATTTGATTTCATATTTTCTATTTGGTGTTTCGCTGTTTTCTGTGCAATGTAAATGTTTGTGATGATTGATGGGGTTGTTGAATATAATATACGTGCAAATCACTGCAAGTTGTGGGTTTGTTGCTTCATGTACTTTGTTGGGTAAATCCAAAGGATAGAAATAGACCGTAAACTGCAGACATGCATTCCAACGATTTCTACTCCCCATCAAACCACAAGTAGGCCTGTTATGCAAAAATTTGCTAAAGACATTAACTCTAATACTGACTGTACTGCTGACAGTTTGACAGGAAGTCAGTATAACCCACCTGTCAAACTGGAATTCCCTAAATTCAGTAATCATCCAGAGGAAGACCCACTTGCCTTCATTGAACATTGTGAGGAGTATTTCGCTGTCCGCCCATTAACAGATGAAGAAACTATAGCTTCCCTTAATGCTGTCTTCAGTCACACGGCCAAAGACTGGTGGACTGCTGAGAAGAAGAGGGTCCATAATTGGCAGCAGTTCAAATAATCCTTTCTTCAAGCCTTCTTAAATTAAGATTATGAAGTAGTGGCCATGAGAACGCTCATGGAAAGGAGGCAAGGGGTAAATGAAAGTTTTAGGGACTTTGCTTTCCATTACCGTGCCCTGTGCTTAAGGTGGAAAAAGGGAATGACTGAAAAGGAGATGATTCAAGCCATTTTGAGAAACTGCAACCCTCGTCTTGCAGTTACAGTCAGTTCATGAACTGGTCCGGGTTGGGATGCAAGTTGAAAGAGACATTAGTGAATCAAAGAAGTACTGGAACATGATGAACGCAGATGAGCAGCGAAAGAAGAATGTCATGAGTCAAGAGTCACAAAGAAAAAACCCTCCATCCCATACCAGAGTAGTGCAAAACATTCAAGAGAATGTACAACATAATTCTGGGAACCTCACCATACCACTTAACATTCAAGGTAAACTGATAGCTGCACTCATCGACACTGGTAGTACTTTGTCGTTAATGCAAAAATCCATTTGGAGACAGTTGTGTAAAAAAGAAATCTTGCCGTCAAGTGAAGGACAAACGTTTCTTCTTGCCAATGGCCATCATCAAGCCACTGTAGGGAAGGTAATCTGGATGAGTAAAGTGCATGATGTTCCAGTGGAAGTTGAGTTCTACATAATGAACGATTCTGACTTGGCTGTACCTGCTATATTAGGAATGGATTTTTTGTTGAAGTCAGGGATGATAATAGACTTTCAGCATGCCCAGTATACCTTTCCTGCACAAGGGGATGCTGTAATTGCTGTCACACATCCATTTTCCTGGCAGGATACCTTTCCAATGATCCATACTGTCCATTTCTACCTTGCCTTGTCTCTATCACCATGCAATGAGGAGGTTCTTCAATCCATCCGCAGTCTTACAGCCAAAGCAGACACAAGCACACAGGTGCAAATCCAGTTGGAATGTCTGATGTTGGGTTGGTCCTCAGTTTGTACTCATGACATAGGGCATACCACACTGGTCAAACATCGAATCCTTACTACTGATAAGGTGCCTGTAAGGAAAAGAGCTTACAGAGTATCTAAGGAAAAGTAAGCATTCATTGATGAACAGTTGAAAGAACTGTTGGATAAAAATATCATACGTCCATCTACCTCATCTTGGGCTTCACCAGTGGTTGTGATGCCAAAGAAAGACGGAGGGTCACGTTTCTGTGTTGACTATCGTGGACTTAATGCCAAGACACCTTTGGATGCGTACCCCATGCCACAAATACAAGACATTTTGGAGTCCATGCATGGAGCAGCCGTATTTAGTACCCTTGACTTGAAAAGTGGGTACTTGCTATT